TGTTGACCATGGCATCCTCCTCCAAAAGCTGGAGTATTATGGTATCCATGGTGGGGAGCTCAGCCTTTCCAGGACATAACTTGCTGAACGAAGACAGGCATAGGCAATACCTGGTTCTCTGTCCTATCCTCCAACTGTGGAGTACCTCAGGGCTCAGTATTGGGTCCTCTCCTGTTTCTCATTGCCATCAATGACCTGCCTTTTAGCCTCAACTGTGATGCATATTTGTATGCAGACGATACCACCATTTTAACTAAGGGTGTAGATGTAACACAGCTTGCAGCTGCAGTTGAAAGTAGCCTAAGTTTGACCTCTGAATGGTTTGCAGCAAATAAATTCCTTGTCAACTAGGATATAACACAATCTATGCTATTTAGTTTGCGGCCTACACCTCAAATGGAGGAGACTAGCAAAAACAATTCAAATGTAAAGTTTCTTGGAGTAATTGTAGATCCCCAACTGACTTGGAACCCCCAGGTACAACAGATATAATTACGCAAAAGACTTAGAAATTAAGGAACCTTCTGCCTCTAAATCCTCTCCAAAAATGTTTATTTTGCACTTGTCCAGTCAGTTCTAAGCTACGGGATAATCCTTTGGGTAAATAGCTCATCAATGATGTTCTTGTTGCCCAAAAATAGATTATTAGCCTATATAACTATATTGAACAGAGATCAAAATGAACATTGTAAACCATTATTTTACCATTGAAACCAACTTTAACGCTCTGACTGTGATAATAATTATATTTATAATGTATTGTTATCTAGTTTTAAGTTGCATGAAACCTTTGCTCTAAGGGGTGATTTTCATTGCTTTGACACTAGGAAAAGAGAAAACCTTGACATTCCAAAAGACTAGAAACAATTAAAAGACGCCATGCTATTTAGGGTAAAAAGCTGTGGAACTATCGCCAAGAATAATTCAACTCCCTTGTACAATAGTTTTAAGAATGCAATTTATGAATAGCTTGTCAGAAACCCCCCTGTATAATATTGATGATTTTTTTTTTTACAACCAATGACAATTTCCAGCCTTGAATGCCTTTTAACCCTACGTGCGTCGCTTTCGCGACACACAAACATTGTTTGCGGCGAAGGCTCTGGGACTGACTGAATCAGATTGAACTGGATCGAGATTGGTATCGTTGTTTTCGGCAGATTCTAAGCTTTCTCCTGATGTCTGTTTCTAGACGCTTTTCATTTTAGTTCCGAAAATATTGTAGCAGACAGCTGACGTGCCTATTTGTTTAAACAACTTGGTTAACCTCGCACTGATGACTGATGTGTTTTATTACATTTATCATTGTTTTAGTGTTAAAAATAAAAAGTAGTGATATACGTGGTGCATTATAAGAAGATTTAAGTGATTTTGAAGGACTGGTTGATGATCCTGAAGAAGTAGGTAGTGATATTGATGTAAATTATCGGCCAGATTCCTAGCTATGGTTAGGCTATGCATGGAGTGCCTCAAGGGTCTATTCTAGGACCATTGCTATTTTTGTGCTATTTAAAGGACATAAGCAGTGTCCTAGTATGTAGACCTAGAAGTGAATTGTGCCTGTATGCTGTCGATGCTAATTTAATGATTTCCTCTCCTACACTGGAACAAACGGAAATTTCTGCTTTTCTAGAACTTGGAAATTTGGGCAGTTATCTGGTGTGCCAAAACCTAAAATTAAATAACAAAAAAACTAATTTTATCACATTTAAAACACCACAAAATAAAAATTCCAATCACCCAATAATAATGTATGACTCACAACTTATTGAGCAAAAGACCACCACAAACTTTTTGGGTCTAACAATAGATCAAAATTTGAATTGGAATGATCATACAAAAAAAATAGTTACAAAAATCAACTCTGGAATTTTTGCCCTTTCAAAAATGTCTGTGTACTGTGATGTCAAAACTTTGAAAAACATTTACTTTGCATATATCCATTCACATATTTCAGGGTGTCTACTACATTCTGGATAAAAAATTCATGGACAATTCCCATACATTAAGGACCTTTGTCGGTGTGATTATAGAATAATATTCCTGATTTATCAAACTGTATTAATCTTGTTCTTCATTGTAGTTGTTCCAGAGAGAAAAGTAAATAATAATAGAGAATTAAATTTCAAAATAGAAACTTATTGAAAGTAAACAAACATATACTTTAGGTACAGCTTTTATAGTGTAACAGAAAAACGCAATCATTGTCTCCTGCAATAGCGACAAAATCCTAAATATGTATCTCCATCGATCACGGAAACATCATAAGATAGCTTATCCGATCCAGGCGGATTAATTTGGCATTATTCGCCCTGGCACAAAGTTAGGTTCTCGACTACTTTTGAAAAAAAAAATCTGTAATGCATAGTGAAAATATTGTAACTCGGTTCTAAAGGTACAAAATCGGTATGGTAAGCGGCTACCAGTAAGCACAGAGTAAGATTATTGTCTTTTCATCTGCAAAGTTAATATCGACACATAGCAATCATTAGTTTATCTTAGGCTCAATTACATTTTCTTAGTATATTTTACAGCTCTTTCAAAGAATCAAAATACCCAGGCCTAGGCCTAATTATTTAGGAGGGCCTATATAAACTGGGTAACAAACAATGAGGTTATAATATCAGCAAAGTCACTACAATATCATCATTCTAGTTCATAAGATTTAGATTGCTTAAAGCATACAACGCAATAAATTAATATGGGAAATAAAAAAAATTGAAACCTGAACGCCAACAATGTACAAAGATACAGAAAATGCAATGACATAATTTGAAACCAAGTAGGCCTACGTAGTGATAAAAAATTAATGCAAACAACGCTTGTGGTTTTGTCAATTGAAAGATAAAATATCCATAAAAAAAGGGGTTAACTTACAAAATAAGACTGTAGATTAGTTACATGTTTTATATCTTCAAGACGAAAGTACAAGTAAGAAGTGAAATTTAACAGCCATTATAAAACTATTATTTCCATGATAAAATATGTTTGGGATCTAATAATGATTACTCCAGTAATAAATAAAGAAGTTGTAAAGGAATAAAAGTGACACAACTTTTATGAGCTAAGCTACTACTGAGTCAACAGTTCTTGGAAGTACTTGACTTGACACTTGATTGTGATAAAATATTAATGGGTTTGAGACTGCTAATGGGGTTTTTATTGCATAATTACTCTAGTAATAAATTATGAAAATGTAAACAAACATCTGATAAACCTTTTATGTGCTCCCAACCAACTAGCGATCGATAAAATTATGGCCCATTAAAAATTTAAGGACATACCGGTAGTCTGGCATTTAAGGACAATTCCCGTACATTTCATGGCCAGTAAAAAATTAAGTACAATTCCCGGTTTTCCCGGATTTCCCGGTTGGTAGGCACCCTGATATTTCCTTTGGTATCTGTCTATATGGAGCAACAACTCAAATCAATCTAGATAAAATATTAAAACATTAAAAAAGAGCAGTGAGAGTAATGCTCAGACTAAATTCTGATGTCTCGGCAAAAGAGCACTTTAAACAGCTAAACATACTAACTGTTTATGGGCAATATATTTATGATTCAATTTTAATTTTTAAAAATAAAACCTCATCCGATGTATCCAATCTACCGGTTCACCGATATGAAACGAGAAAAAATCAGATTTTGCAAAATAGGCACAGATTAAAGTTTTATGAAAAAAAATCCATCATTTGCTGGTAAAAGTTTTTTTAAACGTATCCCCGGAGGAATTAGAAATGAAAAAGATCAAAAAAAGTTTAAAACAAAACTAAACAATTTCTTAATAAACATGGCAATTTATTCTCAAAGAAGAATTTTTCCACCTCCCTCAAGAATACTAGATATTAAGAAGGCATCTGTATGGGGAGATGTATTTATTAATTTGAGATCTATTTTTAATCTATATTTTATATTTTAATAATTGTAATCTTTGACACTATTCAAATGCTGTATTAACTTATGTATACTTCTCAATGAATAAAGAAATTGAAAATTTAAAAATTCTTAGCTAACGCTAAATGTACGAAATCTGTTTTTCACCCATAACTTATTTTTTTTGCAAATTTACTTACTTAAATTATTATATTTTTACTATTTTACTATGGACACTTGGAGGGTTAAGCCTGTCTATGATTATCTGTGTTTGTGCCACTATTTATTTGCATGTTGTGTAAGTTTAGTTGCCCTAAAACCTTGCAGCCTAGACTTGTTTACACTTTTAGTTGATTGAATTTGACTTGTGCTTCTACTAGCATGTATTTATAATTTGATTGTGTCTCATGCATATATTATGTCTGACTTATAGATGAATAAATATCATTTCATTTTATCATTTCCTTCTGTAGACTCTCTAACACGTAAAACGCTTTCCCGACCATAGCTCTTAGGATCTACAACAGTGCTTGCTCCAAGCCAAGACATAAAAAAACCTTGAAACAATGAAATTTAGCACTCTGTTCTGCTGAAGTCATGGCTATAACAACCAATCCTTTCTATAGCCTTGACGTATATTTCTAAACAGTGAATAAAATTGAGGGTTGATCCACCGCCAAAAGTGAATAAGTAAATCTAAATACATGTAGTAAGACACAAAAGTATCAATGAGTTTTAAGTTTTATTTTTTAATGACCCAACCTATCTGGAGATGGTCTCAGTGCAGAAGAAGGTAATGAATGCTTTGTCGTGTTTAAGTTTAATTTAAAGTATTTTGTGTACTTAGGTATAATTATTACCAATTGAGATGGGGACGCCATCTAGGTGCTTATCTTAACCACAGACAAGGGAAACAAAGTTTTATTTCCTTAGTCAATGTCTTAACCCAAATAGAGCTGGGCTGTGAGGCTGTGACTGAAGGATAAGTGTAAGTTAGAATGCAGTGAGATGCCTTGTGTAGCTTTTTGGAAGACTGTTTCATAATGTTAATATCGCGGCTATTGATTTGCAATTTCTGTTTGGGAGGGCCTAATAAGAAATTATTAAAACGCAAGAATAACTTACCTTGCTGTTGTGTAAACGCAGATAAACTGGATTTTTTTGTGCTTTTAGTTTGAAGGTTAGGATTATTCAATTTAAAAACAAAAACACAAAGGTTCGGGGCGGGAGGGGACTGTCAATCTTTTTCTTTTTTTCCTTTAGTTTGCTTAGCAGGCTTTGGTTAAATAGACCAGGCAGCCTCAATGTACACTGAGTTTTGGTTGCTTCCAATTCATCCTGCAATTAAGGTTATTTGTTAGTTTACACAAACTTGTGATCTAATATATAAAAGGCAAAGCCCTCACTGACTCACTCACTCATCACATAAAACTGACAATCTAATTCTCCCACTTCCCATTTACCTAGGAGGCTGAAATTCGGTACACCGATTCTTTGGGCATTAAATAGAAAAAAACTAAGTAGTTTATATTCTGATCGGGCTTTCGGGCTCTGACCCCGGGGGCTCTGGAGTTTCCCATGTTAGCCTTGTGATTTTTCATATTTAAAAGGAACTAGTGTACCTGTTGCTCGAATTCGAGCAATTGCATTACAGGCGACTCAAAGATTATGGAAATATTCACAATCTACACAACAGCACAGAAAACACAGTTAGATATAATCAAAATCTTTTGTAAATATCTTATCTTTTTTTAAAAAGCTGATCTTGTTTTTTTAGTGTTTTCTACAAATTTTTCCCTCTCATAGCCGCATTAGGTTGTCTATGATAACGATTATAAATGAAAAAAAAAACATTATTTCTAAATCTTCTACTTGGTTGTGTTCTATGACTTTTTCTACGTTTCCATTGTTTGCAAATCGGTTATTTCAATGATTGCTCAAGAAATATAGAACAGTGTTAATTCAGTTTTATTTTTAGCCCATATCAAATTGTCCAGGATTTCTCACTCTTTTCCATTCTAATAATTACACCAACCCAAGTTTCGTCTACAGATGCAAAATGCCAACGAATATCACCTACGTACAATCTCCAAGAAGTGGTTAAAAAGGCAGAAACCAACCCATACAATAGATATAAGTTAACTCAATGAAAATTAATTTTAAGAGTTACTGTGATATTAGGATTTTCCACTGATTTTGTAATAGAACATTATATTGCAAAACATGACACGATGCAGAATAAAATCAATTTTAAAATCAGAAAAATCCATTGCAAAATACTGTAGGCCTACTTCATTTTGACAAATGCAATAAATCACAATTTAAATATTAACAGCTGTTGCATTAAAAAGTAGTGTAGAATTTTGCATATGGTCGTAATGTAAACAAATCTGAAGAGGCAACTTTAAAGGCTTCTGGGGCAGAGCCCCAAGGGAATTTACCTCTTTCCTCTTTTGATGGCTCATTTACAGACCAAGACCTTTCTTTAGAGACCCCGACCAAGTTTCTACGCCCAGCTGTTCTCTCAAATTAGCTGTGACAAAAACCCCGTTTTCCTCCATAAGAATAACATGGGATGGGAATTCAAAGGCCACTGGGGAAGAGCCCCAAGGGAATTCACCATGTTTCTCTTTTGATGGCTCATCTACAGACCAAGACCTCTCATTAGACACCTCTACCGAGTTTCTACGCCCAGCCGTTCTCTCAAAATAGCTGTGAAAAAGAAAAACAGTTTCAAATTAATATATAGATTAATGAATCTTAACAGCTGTTTCAATTAAACAAGTTGGTTCTGTTCTATGATGTTCAATAGCATTAAAGTTACAAGGATGACCAACAGGGTGCAGCACTATTATTTTTTTTAATTTATGACAACAGCTAATTTGCAACCAAAAGGTGAGTGAGCGTAGCGAACGAGCTCCAACCTAAAAGTGAGTGAGCGTAACGAACGAACTTCAACCAGGACGTTTTTTTTAGTGTGGCCTTGGATTGAGCCATGCAAATACTTATGATGTTAAACGGGGCAAAGCCCGTGGGTACAGCTAGTTTGAACATAAATGTGCACAATCAATGTTTCATGTTGATTTTGTTCTAGGTTTTTATTTTGTCTGCAAAATCCATACCACTGGAGACAGCTGACAGAGACCAGAGACAGCACAGGGAGATACCATAGAGAAGTAAGTTAAAAAGGAAACACTCAAAGGTACCACGGCCACCCTTTATCAGGATTCAGGAACGGCTGCGGCTCCGTCCAATCTGTTCCGCATAGCGAAACTTAACGCAACACAAATGTAATAGGTAGTTGCAGACGTTGCAGTTCCAAAAAAAGGTAGGACGGTTGCTCTGTTATTAGTTACTAGCTGTACCCACGGGCTTTGCCCCGTTTAACTTCATAAGTATTCGCATGGCTCAATCACGTCCCGGTTGATGTTCGTTCGCTTCGCTCACTCACTTTTAGGTTGGAGCTCGTTCGCTGCGCTCACTTGTTTTCAGGTTAGCTCGTTCGCTACGCTAACTCGCCTCCAGGTTGATATTCGTTCGCTACGCTCACTCACCTTTTGTTTGCAAAATAAATTTTAAAAAGTCATCCCTTTTTTGTTTATAATACTTTGATAAAGTTTTTTATGTTTTAATATTTAACATTAGAGAATTTAAACGTTGTTAAGTGCAAAGGAGTGCTGCGATTGGGGTTTAATACATTTGGAAGTGTTCAAAAGTAAAATAGTTTTCTGTTCTGCATTCTGTAGAAACACTGTGGCACTATTTAAAATCATGACTAATGCTAATACAGAATGTTGTAATAATTCAAACCTACAAAACAGTTGGTGAAAGTAAACATCTGCTTTTAAATTATATTTATTTGTAAACATTGTAGATCAAAAATTCTGACATTGGCCCACTTAAAACCCTCTGGGGCAGAGCCCTTTTGACAGATCTGCACCAAACTTCACTCGAACCATCCTTGAAAGATGCTTAATAATGCCTGAAAGTTTCATTACAATCTGTCGAGCGGTTTCGGAGTCCATAATGTATATACATACACACACACATACATAGTTCCTCTTTTATAGATATAGACTAGCTGTACCCACGGGCTTTGCCCCGTTTAACTTCATAAGTATTCGCATGGCTCAATCACGTCCCGGTTGAAGTTCGTTCGCTACGCTCACTCACCTTCAGGTTGGAAATCGTTCACTGCGCTCACTTGTTTTCAGGTTAGCTCGTTCGCTACGCTTACTCGCCTCCAGGTTGATGTTCGTTCGCTACGCTCACTCACCTTTTGGTTGCAAATTAGCTGTTGTCATACATTTAAAAAAAGTCATCCCTTTTATTGTTTATAATACAGTACTTTTATAAAGGTTTTTATGTTTTAATATTTAACATTGGAGAATTTAAACGTTGTTAAGTGCACAGGTGTGCTGCGATTGGGGTTTAATACATTTGGACTTATTTAAAAGTAAAATAGTTTTCTGTGCTGCAATCTGTAGAAACACTGTGGCACTATTTCAAATCATGACTAATGCTAATACAGAATGTTGTAGTTATTCAAACGTACAAAACAGTTGGTGAAAGTAAACATCTGCTTTTAAATTAAATTTTTTTGTAAACATTCTAGATCAAAAGGTCTGACATTGGCCCACTTAAAACCCTCTGGGGCAGAGCCCTTTTGACGGATCTGCACCAAACTTCACTCGAACCATCCTTGAAAGATGCTTAATAATGCCTGAAAGTTTCATTACAATCTGTCGAGCGGTTTCGGAGTCCATAACGTATATACACATATATATACATACATACATAGTTCCTCTTATAGATATAGATTACTACGGCAAGACGGTCGTGGCTGGGCTGGGGCCAATGAGACCAACCCGTTTGGCGCCGTAGACCGGGCGCCAAACGGGTTGAGTATGCACTGAAAGTCTGACAAAATTTAACTTTTGATTATTGTTGAGGACATCTAGTAGATGAGAAAAATCGATGATGTCGCATTTCTAGGGTGGTCACAACTCGTGGGAGGGGGGGGGGGTGGAAGTTGCGCGCGTCAGTGGTTTACGTATCCGCTTCTAACTCTAAAAAGGCTAATGGTAGAATCGTGGTTTGGCTGTCTATCTACGCCTAAATATATTGTCCTTCAAAAAGGTGATTATAACCTTTCTTCTATCTCTTATGCTTTAGTCCCAAGTCAACGTTTATTGCAAAAAGGAAAATTTAAAACAACTTTAAAATCAAATATCGGAAATATTGTACGCGTGTAAGACATGTTACAGAAGATTTATGGTTAGACAAACTAACAAGTAGTACAACAACACCGAGTTTAAGGAAATCTGTGCCAAAACAACAGAGCTACGTTTAATTCTGTAAGAGTAGACGTGGAAAATTCGTAGTAGTATCAAGGCGCGCCATGGATAGTACGTAGACCACAGTCAATTATAGGTTTTATGTCGGAAGTAATTCTGAGAAAGCTGGATTTCTCTAGTATGCTGTTAGACCATGTTAAGATGAGCATTTTCAAAAATAAACAAAGAATAATACAACGAAAAAATACAAAGAATAAACAAGTCAACATCTACATCACACATCTTCATTCCACATCTACATTCAAAAGTGACCATAAAATGCAAATTGTTCCAATATCAAAGTAAGCTACCGTTTTTGGAAATGGTGGCAATTTTTTAAACAACGGAATCATTATTTTTAACGTATTTTATATATTTTTTTACGTAGATTTATATGTGACTTATTTATTCTTTGCACTTTCTCTTTCAACTCTCTCGTTTATGAGCTACAGGATGCTGAATGTACACCACAAGCCTTTTTTTTAGATATAACACGCTGTAACTCCTAAAGGACTCACAATAAAAACGTTTTTACATGGCATTTAAATTCTAAAAAAATCCTAAAATACACCATATTCCATAAGAGATAACAAAGTTGTTGGCCATATTGGAAAATGGCATATATTTTTTAGATTCGTAACCATCCCTAAAATCATCTTTAAAAAATTAAGAGGATCGTCTAATAAAAAGTCAACTCCATATGAAAAATCAAATTTATGTATGTTCACTATGTTATCTCAACCGGGATGAAACGGTGTACCATTTTATAGCAGAATGTCAAATTTTAAACCAACTATACGTCAATTTTGGTTTAACAAGTTATATTAAAATGAATATGAGTTTTTTTATTTT